TTTAAGCGAAGTTACACGTAACCGCGATAAAAACGTTCAAATAAAACAAGATCAGCTTGGTAAAGGAATTACCGCAGTGAGCAAAGCGATTACATCGCTTTTACTCACTGACGATAAACTACTGGCTCTAAAGATCCTTACAGATGGATGCAGGATTTTATCAGACATACATTATGTTGAAACTGATGTAAGAAAAAACTCATAGCGCCTTGTTTTGATAAATCAGTTATTGCAATGATCAAAGAACAAGAACGCGACGAAACTCTTTTTGGCAATACACTTTCTGATACAATCAAAGCATCCAAGGCAATTGAAAAGCAAGGTCTACAAATTAAGAAATCTGCTGTACATAATGCTTCGCTACAGCGAACAACTTCGTTACCTAGCACTTCGTATTTACCATCATCGTCATCTTCCAGAACACGTTTTCAGGGGAACGCGACCGGCTCTCCTCGCTACGTCTCGGCGAACAGGGGGGGCGGGGCGAGGAGGGCCACCACGTGTACAGAGGCCTTACCGTCGCCATCCGAAAGCCTTACGAGTTCCTTGAGACAGCGTGCTCCCAATCGTCAATAGATATTCAGGTACACGCCGGTAGAATTCATTATTTTTATAATCGTTGGTTAAATATAACCAGTAACAAATTAATACTGGATTGGATTCGAAACGGATATACAATACTTTTTTCAAAAACAGTGAAACAACATTTTATTCTCAAAAATAATTTAACTGTGTCAGAAAGAAAATGATATGGCTATCGCAATAGATAATTTACTGCAACTTGGTGCGATATCCGAGTGCAAACCACACCGAGATCAGTTTGTGTCAAATATTTTCTTAGCTCCTAAATTAATGGTTTCAAACGATTTATTTTAAATTTAAAATCACTTAATAAATTCGTACGTAAAGATCATTTTAAGATGGAGGATTATAGGACGGCTGGTAAAATTATTCCCAACAAAGGTTTTATGGCCACAATTGATTTAAAAGAATCATATCTTTTAGTCCCCGTGTCTGAAATTCACAGGAAGTATTTGAGATTCCAGTTTGAACAGTCGAAACGTCTTCATTTGTATAAATTTGTTGCTATACCGTATGGTCTTTCTTCGGCACCGAGAACGTTCACTAAAATAATGGAAGAGGTTGTGATTTACCTTAGATATCACGGCTGCATTTCAGTAATTTATCTCGACAATTTACTTTGCATTGGGCATACTTACAACGAATGTTTGTTAAACTTCAGAAAAACTATAAAGCTGTTACACTATTTAGGGTTTGTAATAAACTTTGAGAAAAGCAAACTTAACCCTTCACAACAATGTAAATATTTGGGTTTCATTTACAATACTGTAAATATGCGCTTAAGTTTACCCAATGACAAACGTCTTAAAATATTAGCAGTGGTACAAAAGTCCATTTATTTGTCGCGATGTACAATTAAAGAGTTTGCACAATTAATAGGATTATTAACGTCTGCCTGTCCCGCGGTACATTATGGTTGGATACACACTAAACAACTTGAGAGACAAAAATATTTGGCCTTACGGCGTCTTAACTCATTTAAAAGTAAATTTGTGCCTGGTCCCGAAATATTACCCGATTTATTATGGTGGTTGGATAATATCCTTATGTCAGAATGCCCTCTTAAACCGGAACCATATGCATTAGAAATTTTTACCGATGCATCTTAATTTACTTGGGGCGCATTTTGTAATAATCTACGCGTTACTGGAAAATGGAAAGAAGATGAATTAGATTTTCATATAAACTGTTTAGAATTACTTGCAGTATTTTTCGTAATAAAATGTTTTGCTCGGCATCTTAACAACTGTAGTGTTTTGTTGCGCGTTGATAATACCACAGCGATAAGTTATGTGAATCGCCAAGGTGGAATTCAATTCCCTCATATAAATGATTTGTCTCGTCAAATTTAGCAGTGGTGTGAGAAATGAAAATTATGGCTGACAGCGTCATATATTAACAGTAAGGATAATACAGAGGCGGATGAAGAATCACGTAAAGAAATGTCACTTTCAGACATAGAAATGTCACTTACTGATTTAGCTTTTAGAAAGATTTATAAACAATACGGTTAACCAACTATAGATCTTTTCGCCTCTCGAACTAACGCCAAATGTTTATCATACATCTTTTGGAAGCCGGACCCAGATGCGGTAACTGTCGACGCATTTACTATACCATGGACTCTAATGATGTTTTACGCCTTTCCACCATTTTCATTAATTTTGAATTGTTTGCAAAAGATCAATAATGACAACAGTATGGGTAGGTATTTTTATTTTTCCCTATTGGCCATCACAGCCTTGGTTCCCTTTGCTACAAAAAATGATTACCTCTAATATAATACTTTTAGACTCTAAAACTGATTTAGATTGGTATTGTCGTAGGAAACCCCAATTCGAACAACTTACCTTGGGTGCAGCCAAGCTCTCCGGTCAGCATTTGAAAAACACGGTGCTTCATTTGCTACGTTAGATACAATGATGGCATCGTTGTCAAAGAACACATTAAAACAATATAGTGTTTGTTATAAAGCTTGGTGGCAATATTGTGCATTAAGTTTATTGTTCGGTAACGACCTTGGATCAGAAAGACAAGTGAAAAGGTTACTAAGGGGAATTTATAAATTAAGAGCGGTTCCAAAATATACCTGTACTTGGGACCCTCAGATTATATTACGATATATTGAATCATTAGGATTAAATCATTAGTGATTTATCTTTAAAAATGATATCTAAAAATTGGTAATATTACTTGCCTTATGTACCGCACATAGAGTTCAAACTTTGGCGTCCGTTAAAGTTAAAAATATAATAAAGACTTCGGCTGCAGGTCGTGACCAACCGATTCTCTTCTTACCATATTTTAATGAAAATGAAAAAATTTGCCCAGCAAAGACACTGGAACATTATCTTACTATCACAATCCCTATAAGATCTAATTCTATAAAAAACCTAATTTTAACGTTCAAAAAATCACACGGTGCCGCCAATAGCCAAACTATCAGTCGTTGGATTAAGGCTGTGCTAGCTAAAAGTGGTGTGAACATGGCTATGTTTAGCGCACATAGTACGCGACACGCTGCAACATCAGCAGCGCGCGTGGCGGGTGTATTAGAAAGACTGCCGGTTGGACGCGAGGCTCCGAATCTTTTGCAAGATTTTATAATCGTCAAATCAGTGATGATTCTATATTTGCCAAATCAGTATGTCACCCTAATTATAGTTAAATTATATATTTTATATGGTTGTGTTTTAGTGATTTGATAATTAATTTCTAATTGTGTTAAGAGGTATACAACATTTTACATTGTTAAAATAAATAAATAAAATACAGTATAGTTGTTTTATTATTACATAGCACTCTGATACAAAATTTTCTTCTCTTAACATCTATAGTGTTGTTACCATATCTGAAGAATGAAGCATATGTAGTATAATTAATGATTAAACGAACTTACCTGGAAGTGAAGTTCGATCACAATTATGTTAATATGCTTCATTCGAAGATATAGGCTCCCTCCCACCCTGAATCCCGAAACTTAAAATTTTGTAAATCTCTAAAAGAATGAGAAAATGGCGCGAATGCGGGAGCGTGTCGGTAAGGAATACTTTTTAATCTACCTTCCGATATTTTTATCGGATATCGTGCGGAGTTGCCTGTATGGTAAAAGGACTACAGTGTTGTTACTATATCTTCGAATGAAGCATATTAACATAATTGTGAACTTCACTTCCAGGTAAGTTCGTTTAATCATCAATTTTATTTGCTTACATAAAGAGATGATTTTTGGCACGATGGATGCCAAATGTAATTTTTAAATATATCCTTTAAAAGTTATTTATTACTTTAGCATTATTCAGGGAGACTGATATGAGCAAAATTACACCGTGGGTGTAAGATAAGGATTTGATACTATGGACGTACACAAACGTCGACTAGATGCCATGGGTGTTATAAAATACGATAAATATAATAATTAATTAACTTTTTTAATCAAGATGAAACTTTTAAATTTTTATCTAGTTTTTTAATTTTATTGATTAAATATTTAATAGAATAAATTTTTAGTAATTTGGAAATACATGCGAAGTGGCTGAGCACTAAAGAGCCCGTGCGCTGGCGGGTGGAGGTATATATTTTTATTTTTATATATTTTTTTAATATTAACATTTAACCGGAAATTAGAAAATAGGTAATCATTTTAGTCTAATATGTATATTTAGACATTTTAAACATTTTGTTGAAAGTTGCAAGACTTGGGTGTTATTTCATAGTGTATATTCATAAAATATACTAATCTCGAGGACGAGGCATGGGTATAAATTTCATTCAAACACTAGTATGAGTGACTTTGTTTATTAGGACGCTGTACCAAAGGGTAAAACGAGAACACTTTACTAAGACTTCGCTGTCTGTCCGTCTGCTTCCAAGCTGTATCTCATGATTCATGAAAATAAGTTGAAGTTTTCACAGAAGACCTATTTCTGTTGCTACTTCAACAACAAATACTAAAAACTAAGAATAAAATTAAAATTTAAGGGGGCTCCCATACAAAAAACGTGTTTTTTTTGCTTTCACCAAGCTGAATCTCATGAATCGTATTAGTTAGACAGTTGAGATCTTCACAGATAATGTATTTCTATTGCCGCTATAATATAAAAATACTAAAAGGTTGAATAAAATAAATATTGACAGGGGGCTCCCATACAACAAATGTGTTTGTTTTTGGTCGTATTCAGTACGTGCGCGAGTCCGACTCGCACTTGGCTGTTTTTTTATTTTGGTTAACCCTTTCTTAAAGCTTATTATATGTATGTAGACAAAAAAGAAATTTTTCTTTGTACCCTACATTTTGAATTATATTTCTCCCACTTTTAAGGGGTATCCAAATAAAATATTAAAGTTTCGTTAAAAATCATATTTAATACAAAGAAAACATAGATTTATAAAAATATTATACGATTTATACCAGGTTTTTAATAGTGGTTATCAATTGGTGGCGGGGGTGTTGCAGACATTGCATCTATTTGAGCTCCCATCGGATCCATCAAAGAGCCCGCTAATCCAGACATGCGGTAGTCAGGCGGAGTCATGTCAGAACTTACTGGATCTTTATGAGTTTCTGGTGCTAAAAGAATAAAACATTAATAACACCCACAGAACACAGTTTTTGCGTTCTGTGATAAATGAAAGAAGCAGTAAAGAATATTTTAAAATTTGAATAAAGAACTTTTTGAGTTTATTCGTCTTCTTTTTTAATGTATTGCCAATTTGCGTTTCTTCTTCTTTTCTTCCATTTTAATTTATTTTCAATAAAAAATTGAAATAATATAAAAAGTATTTATTTTCTTCTTGAAGTTTAACGCAAAATATATATAATGAGAAAATAATAAAAAAAGGTTAATATCGTTGTCTTTTGAGTTTTACGTCATTATTTATCGAATAAATAGATTAAATATTGCTCAAGGCGTAGTATAATTTAATGGAAAATTCCTTTTTACCTGGTTCAGCTTCTTGTGGTACTGGAAGTTTTTTTGGCATATTGCAAGCCTTACAAGGTTTTAAAACATGGTCCGCCATGTAAGTCTAAAAATAAAGCAAACTATTTAATGGAAACCGGCGGAACAGTTACAGGGAAAAGAATACACAATGATTCTACTTTGGGTAACTGGGTTTCTGTAAAGGAGATTTCAGTTGAAAGAAAGTTTTGTGGAGGTTTATGTGAATATTGTTTACCTTTCCATCAGTTCCTACAGTGCTATCATTTGTTTTGGAAAGAGCGTTGATTATAACACCTGGTGGAACCCGACTTTTCGTATTATTTAACCGCGTATGAGAACCACCGCAATATCGATGACAAAAGTAGGATCTGCAATTATTTGATTGTTTTTATCAATAAAGTAGATAAACAGAAAATCAGTTATCAAAATTCATTAAATACTTTTGTTACCGTGGGTCAGGGGAATGCGGAATTGAAAAACCGGGATAGCAAACGCCTTCATGATCTCCGTCTTGACAGGGCTTACTTTTTGTTTCACCCATTGTTGGAGGTCGTATCGCTGGAAAGGAGGGTCCAACTTTATGTTCTTCTATATCCATATGTGCAGGTGTGGTGCATGAGAGGCACGCTGCATCACGGTGTAATTTCCGTGACACTGCAGCAGCACGGGGTTCACCTACGATGTCCATCATTGCTTTGATTTTGATGCTATACTTCTCAAGATATTTAGCAATACTTTCTTGTAAAGAAACCACTTGAAGCCAGTCAGCTTTTTCGGTCAGCTCTCTCAAAAGTTCGTCTATAGCTTTCTGTAATAATCAAATAATTCTCATCATCATCAGTCCTTTTACGTCTCCACTGCTGCACCTTTCTTATTTTATGGCGAAGGAGGATGGGCCATGACCCTCCACGCTGACCCAATGCGGATTGGAGGGTATTACCGATGCCAAATGCAGCCGGGACCAACGAATTAACGTGCCTTCCGAAGCATGGAGTAGCTTGAGATAATTATTTTTTGGTCATCCATCCCGTGATAGACCATTGCGAAAGTTTCTTAACCACAACGATCGCGGGCTGTGGCACTTATCCACTACGCCACTAAACTAGTTAAATATCAAGCCTAAAGTTGAATCTTTTCGTTATATTTTCTAAGGAAATATCATTATAACACATCCTACAAAAATACCTGCCACACTATTTCTTGATTATTAAACTTATCATAAGCTGCACCAATACGTTTTTCCAAGTCCCCTCTAACAGCATCAAATTCTGGCCGAGATACTAATCCATTTAAAGCCGCAATTCCTGCCTTATCTCGAAGTGCGTCTGCCACTTCATCGCGATCGGATTTTTCGCCTCGTAGTAACTCAATTTGTTTCCATAAAGACTGATTCAAAACAATTTGTTAAATAGGTAAGAATCGTTAAAAAAACGCAACTCATATTTTTAAATATTTGTAAAAAGCACCTGAAGATCTAAGCCCATTGTGTCTTGTAAATCTCTGAGATCTCTTTGTCTCATTGTAGCAAATTCAAAGTCCATTTGAAGATTTGTGAAATTATTGTTTAGCTCAGCGAAAGCTATTCGTAAGAAAAACTAAGTTATTAATTTTGTGTCATAAATATATATAAATTATATTATTAGCCATGGATTTGAATATAAGTGTTTTAATATTTACGTAAAAATGAGAAATATAAAAGCAATAGCTATAATAACAACATCGTTTTACAAGTGGAACTCCAAGGATAAAACGTTGAACGGCAAGGATATCCTATCTTTGAAAAAAATTGTTAAATATTTTACCGGCAGTATCTCCACCAGTATTTGCTAAAGCTTCTTGCATAGTTTCTATTCCAGATTCCAAGTCATGCTGCATCTGTGTTAGTTGCTCCTGATAGTTTGTCATCTGAAAATTGGATGATAATAATTATCTACAATTTACTAGCATTAACTACGTTGTTCTAGTTCAAATAAAGTTTTTTTTTTTTATTTCATAATATTCAAGATATTGTTAAGATCGACAATGATATTAAAGGGCTGGAGTGATTAAGTTTTTGAAGAAAAAACCTTATCGTGGATACCTGGGCAGATATGCTAGTGTCGACTGCGTTTATATGTTCAGCATAATCGGAGACAAGTCTTTCCAGATCTTTCATACGATCTCCTAAATTAAGTGATTCGTCCAGTTTCATCTCTGTGTAGATGTAACATTTAGTTAAGAATTAAAACTTTGTTTATTTAGTAGTTAATATACTTTACCGTAGAAATTAATTTACCTAGTCTGTTGGCTATTTTTAAGGCATTTTTAGCGTTAGTAGTACTCGTAGCTGTATTTTCAGTTACTATTTTTACAAATTCGTCATATAACTCTTGCATCACGTTACTGAAAAAATAAGAGTGGGGAGTAAGTGATTGCGAATAGCGGGTAATTGACACTACTTTACGGGCTTATACCGCCTACTAGAAACTTTGAGACTCAATTAGCTTGTCTATTTTGTTATTATTAGTCGGGACGCTGTACACCAATTTCGAGGTATTTCAAGATATTGGTTAGAATTTTTGGTAATTCATAGTAACGTACATAAATAAAGACAATCGTTAAACATAATATATATATATAACTATATTAGCAATACGTATTAGGATCATTTTTGGGATAAATACGCAGTCGTGATTAATCATGTTTGTAGTTTGTTTCAAATACGTTGTGTTTTAGAGGGAAGACATAAATATATGTATGTATGGTAAATCAAATTGAAATGAAGTTTCAAGAAATATTATTGCGCTTATAGAAAACAAGTGAAAAATCGACCTTAATACTAAGACCATCTCGTGTGAAAAATAGGCATTAACACTAAGACTCTTCTGTCCGTGTACGTGGACCGTGATATTAAACTGTGAACCCTAATTGAGTGAGACTGACATTAACTAGGCCATTTTTCTGTTTAACCAACTTCAAAATCGTAAACGAGAAGCTGGCCTGGAAAGTTCTCGCTTAACAGCAAAATTAGTACACTGTGGAGAGATAAGGTGGAAATGACATCGTTCAGAAGAGTATTTCTAGAGGATAAAAAATGCAAAATGTAGTGTTTTTTTCCATATATTTCCCGGGCCGATTTATTATTATAGTTCATACAAGGGAAAATACAAACTTACTCTAATTCTTCAGCGGTTACGCAATCTGCCTTCTCCTTTGATTTTCCTATTTGATCATTTTCTATTTTGGATGGAGTTGCAGTAGCTATAGACCCCACTAAAGATTTTTTAGATTTTGTTGGTATATTGATTTTCTTAGATACCGTTGAAGCTCGTGAAACCCGTGAAGTACGCGACGCTATTTCATCTCCTCCAAAAACAACTTCAGTCTTTACTTCTTTGCCTTGTTCTGGTATAGGCTTCTATATATATTTATTAATATTTATTAATTTCAAATAATTAAGAGTATTATGGTATTTAACAATTGTTTGTCATTATTAAATAATTATATTTTGCAATTTTGCATTCACAATGCTATATTGTATTCATTGAAACTTGGAATTAGTGAATTTAAAAAAAAAAAAAGCTTAATAAATTCACTAGTCTCAGGTACGCTAAATATACTAAAATCAGATCTTAGGGTTCTGGGTCTTTTGTATTTTAAAGCATTTTCTATAAGATAACCAAAATAACAAAATTTATTGTAAAAGACTGTTTGCCTAATCTGAATAGTAACTATTTGAAACATATTATTGTACCATGTTAGTAGCTGTTTGATCCTTTATCGCTGGGGTTTTACTGACAAGATCGGTTACTAGAGTAATCATTTGTTCTAAAGTTTTTTCTGCAGCTTCTAAGCGAGCAGACAGTTGTAAAGCTGCCATTGCATCTGTTAACGAAGCACCTTTGCGCAGTTCATCTAGAAGTTCTGCGTTATCAGGAAAAGTTGCATTGCCCGTTGGAATATATTGCTCTTGCAAATAATGAACCACTGCAGCAAGTTCTGCAAATTCTTCTTGCGTCACTACGGATAATCGTCTAGCTTTGCCACGATCTAAAATTATAGTTGGTTATATTTATGCTAAGTTTAATGGTGATCAAATGTATTTTTTGTTATTTACTTACCTTTTGTCTGATCCGTAGGCACTTTTTCCACTATTGAAAAAAATAACTATTAAAATTATGTAAAGTAAAAATCTATTTGACTTCTGAAAAGATTGTAGTTACCTATAAGTAATTTCTCATACTGCTTTTCTGCAAAAAAAATATAATGAACTAATCAAAGTATGCTATATTTATTAGGACTATTAATAAAATAAGAAATATATATTTACCCATTGAATCCATCGAAGCTATAGGAGTTGGATGGTCGTCTTGATCCTCGTGAGAGTCAGCTCTCTTAAAGATAAAATCGACTCGGTAAATTATTCTAAGAGAATTCAGCCATACTTACATGGTAATCAAGGAAATCAAAATAGATCACTCTGAATTGAAACTACATATTGATTACTAGATAAAGCCACAGAAATAAATTAAAATGTAAGCTAATTGAAGGAATCGATCTGAGCTTTAAACTTTAAAAATAAAATTTGTTATTTTGCAATTTATTGAATAGTTTACATAAATATCTTCAATTTTCACATTATTCAAATTAATTATCTTTAAAGCTTCCATAAAAACATGGGTACATACTTACTTCTCTTATCCAGGTATCAGTAATAGTTATGATATGGCACTTACCAGAACAATGGTGAAATCAGATATACTGAATTTAAAGCAGCCCTTCTAAATAAATCTAGATAAAAAAAGAAACATAAAACAAAAACAAAATGTCATTATTTTCATTGTAATTGCACCTGATGAATGACACGTAGTTCTCTTTCTCTCTGCTCTTCGATTTTCTCCAGTCGCGCAAGGTAGTTCTGTGGCAAACGCTAATCGAAGATTTGTTAGACTATTTATATATATATATACCTTACCTAACCTAACATATCAGTGACTATATAAACATTAAAAACTTACAGCTCCTGATGAAGTTTTTATACGCTTTGATTGATCAGAGGAAGTTTTCGTTTTATCCGATGATGATACTTCAGTTGACGTTTTCCCTGACGAAGTTTTTTCTGTGGACGTTCTGTCTGATGATGATTTCTGTATCCCTTGTTTTTGTTTCTTCTTTTTTGGTACATTCGCAACCATTTTAATTTCTGTTACGTTTAAACTGGAGGACGACACAGTGTCTTGTATTGGACCGATCTTAACTTCTACACGTCTTTCTAATAGTCTTAACTGTCTTGCAAGAATTACCAATATTGCGTGAATAAGTTTGTGGTTTACTGTATTATGCTAGAATAATATAAAACTTTAATTAATTAGTTAGCAGTGCAACTTATCGTCTAGGACTACATCAATAAATTAAAGCGGATCACATTTTGAACTTTGATATAAGTTTAGTAACGGTTAGAGAGGTGCTCCCGTGCTCTACTTAACATTAATGCCTACACACAACCTATACGCTCATAGTTACTACAGACTGATCGCATATTCAAGCAGAACAAAAAAAAAGTATAACATAAATGAATGCCGGCAGTTAGAAATTATATTTATTTTACATAGGTAACAAGCGTTGTAACAAGTATTTATTGACAAAGTAATCTTTTTGTGGACGTTTAGTTCTGTGAGTGTTTTATGTAATGATATTTGGCTTGCCTTTATTAATCAATTTAAAGTAGAGAAGAGTCGAGTACGTTACTACAAAGTTACTGTAAAATTACTGTATTCGACATTAGGCCGTAAACTTTTAATAGTTGAGTTCGTAATTGATTGTTGGAAGACTTTAGATTGTTATTTCGTATCTTAAACTTACATCTGGGTCCCCGAATGCTGCGTCTATCATCTCTTTAATACTTAATAGAGTCGGGGAATCTGCCATTATCAATAAGATAAAAATGTATTTCAGTTTAATTAATTATATATATAATGGACGTAAAACCAATAATATTAGCTGGTGCTATGACAACAATATGTCATATGATCAGTCTTTAAATATGTCAACAATATGAACTAGGATAAGTATTATTCAACTAAACAATACAAGTTTCTTTATAAACTTAAACATAAACGTCAGCCACAAAATCAGTTTTCATCTAATATATCGTCAAAGGCTCTATAGATTTAATAGAAGGTATTACTAAGGTGTTTTATTTTAAATTATTTGTTTTTGTTTTCTTTCTGGTTGGTTTCGATTTTTTTTCAACACACAAACCCGACAAAAGCCATTTAAACCCTGTTTTATTTTACCCTTCGATCAATAATACAACTAGATAACGCCTCGCATACTAAAACAACACTCAAATACAGCACCATACACTACGATAACCAAGGAACATAATATCACAGAGTATATTCTGTGATAATACTCTAGGCGACAACTGAGATTCGGAACTGGGTAAGTATGGAGTTGCATTGAATTATTTTTATTTTGTAAAATATACGTTTAGTTGTAAACGTTGATAATTTGGGGTGGTCGGAGGTTTTTTTTTTATTATTTAATTTGATTAATTTCGCATTCACAATGCTATAATGAATAATATTTTTAATAAAAATGTTTAAAAAATCTTTCGCAATTTTTTAAGCATTTTTCATTAAGGTTTTTAAAGCATTTAAACAACAGTAAAATTATAAAATCTATTATATTTTCACATATTATAATTTAATTTAACGTTATATATAACGGCGGGTAGTCCGAAGGGGCTATTACGAAGCCCAAATAGATCGTCCATATTGGAGGACTATCTTTCAAATAACTCTGCAGGCATGTATACCAACGTGGATTTAATCCATTTTATCACTTTATATACGAAAATATAACGAGATGAGCGTGATGTCGTCGGATATCTTTACTCCTCGGCAATCGGAAACAGAATGCGTGCCAAAATGGCGGCAACTTGGTTTTTATAAACGAACTGTCAAAGTCAGTGTCACCATTCTAATAAAATTAAAAGTATCGATGATCACGCTCTCTTTACAATCGACTAACTAGCAATTAAAATAAAAGAAACTAAATCAAACGATCTTCGTAATGATGATGCGACATATATATATATTTTTTAATTAAGAGCATATTACCTTAATCTCTCTTCAGTCATTTTTTTTATTCTAAGCGTAATCCTAATTAAAATTAAATATTCATTACCTTTTTATGTAACAAAACCCTTAGGATTTTCATTATTTTGCACACATTATAATTTTAGAATGTAACTGTTGAGGACAGCAAAGGAAACGGCGGGTTGGGGAAGAAATAGGAAATATATTTATAAATTTTACAATATCAAACGCAAGCTAAGTTTATAACGGAAGAAAAAAGTTGTAAGTGACAAGAATAGAGTTAAGAGCGAAGCATAGATAATTTAATAGAGTATAATATAAATATTAACAAAAATAAGGTCTGTCTCGCACATCGCCCTCCTCGTATACAAAGTATACCTATTAACATTCTAAAGACAGACTACTTAGATTTAAACACAAAAGATACAATCTTCGCATAAACAAAATAAACAAACCAAAAAACTATTTACAAATATCTAACTTAATTAACTTCCTAACTGGTCGCCTCAAAGTTCCGCCTACTGTACGTACATCAGCCACTCTAACAACGCCGTCACGACCTGGGTGAATTTGGGTAATTCTGCCTTTTGGCCATACTCCACGCGGCAAGTTGCCATCTCCAATCAAAACAATATCATCTACTTGGATATTTCTTGTGATATTCGAGGTAGCCATGTCCCTTCTGGGGTTTAAAAGTGGTAAGTACTCCCGCACCCATCGCTGCCAAAAATGATCTGCGAGTCTAACAGCTTTTCTCCAATTCGCGCGTCGTATTAGGTCGCTGTCGGTAAGATTGTCCGGCCCAGGAAGAGGTGACGACTGACCAATCAAGAAATGGTTGGGTGTGAGAGCTGGTGAATCGCTGGACTCTACGGAGACATGTGTAAGCGGGCGAGAATTTACTATACTTTCAGCTTCTATCAACAAAGTATTCAAAACTTCTTCACGAGGAGCTCTCTCCTTAAGCGTTGCTGATAGAGTTCTCTTCACACATCCAACCAGTCGTTCCCATACTCCCCCCATTGAGGGTGCTGATGGTGGTAGGAAATGCCATTCAATTTGGTTGTTTGCCGCAAAATCCGCTACTGTTTGTTGGTGACATTGCCACTCTCGTTTAATCTCACCGCTAGCGCCGACAAAAGCAGTCCCGTTGTCGGAGTACATCTGCGTTGGGCATCCACGTCTAGCTATGAAGCGACGTAGAGCCATCATCGCCGAATCCGCCGTTAAGCTACCGACTATCTCCAAGTGGACGGCTCTTGTAGAAAAACAAGTAAATAGGGCTACCCAACGCTTCTCTCTTCGTCGTCCTACAGCAACTTCTATGGGCCCGAAGTAGTCCAAACCCGAGACGGAAAACGGGCGCTGATGGTGCAGTAGACGTTCAGCAGGCAGGTCGCCCAGCGGTGGAATAATTTGCGCAGCTTTTCTATTTTTGCATACTTGACATGACGCAGCGACAGCTCTGACAGTGGGTCGGAGACGAATGATCCAGTACCGCTGGCGAAGCTCATTTACTACCATCTCACGTCCAGCATGTCCAGCCCAGTTGTGGTAATGAGCTACTATCAGTCGAGTAATATAATCGCGACCATTCAAAATAACAGGCTGTTTCACGTCCTCAGTAATATCGCTTGCAGCACATATACGTCCATGTAGACGATAAAGGCCATCGTTGTCGACTTTCGCTGATAATTGTTGCAGTTGACTCTCCGTGAGACTTTCTTGCTGACTATGGCGAAGCAAGTGAATCTCTGCGTTCTTCAAATCAGCGGCAAGAAGTGGGCGCAGCCCTCCTCGTTCTCCCCTATGATGTGCTCTGGTTTTTTGTCGTACAAGTCGTAAAAATTGATGGGCACGTGCAGTAGTACGTAGCAGGCGGAGCCATGAGCTATAACGACTAGAATTTGGAACAATATTATAAGGCCGAATAACTAACATACAGGTTTTAATCTCTAAAAGACTGTCGGGAATACTAATACATGGCTCTATAGGAACCTCAATTTGATAATAGCGTAAAAAACTAGGACCCTGCAGCCATCGATCTAACGATTCCACGCCATCTGTCACAATACGAGTAGCATCGTCAGCTACATTTGAATCTGTTTGAACATAAAACCATTCGTGAGCTTGCGTAAGCTCCACTATTTCGCCAATACGGTTTCGAACAAACGTTTTGGAATCGCTAGCAGCACTTCGAATCCAAGCGAGAACGGTTTGCGAATCGCACCAGAAAAATCGTTTAGTGTGTTTAAAACGATGCTGTTCGCAAATTGTCGTCGCTAATCTAGCCCCTAATAAAGCGGCTTGCAGTTCGAGCCTAGGCACTGAAGCAGGCTTCAGTGGCGCAACTCGAGACTTGCTCATAATAAAAGCAACTCTGACGGAACCGTCTGCATATAAGAAACGCCAATATGAAACACAAGCATAAGCTTGATTACTTGCGTCTGTAAAGGTATGTAACTCTCGAGCAATAGGACCAACGGTGTCGGTATAGCAACGTGGGATCTTCAAAGACATTAAAGATGCTACGCTGCGGTACCAATCTCCCCACAGACTTCGTTCATTAGAAGGTAAAATATCGTCCCACTCCTTTACTAACTGCCAAGTTCTTTGAAAAAGTATCTTACCCGAAGTAATAATGGGACATAAGAATCCTAACGGGTCAAAAATCTTCATCAGATCTCGAAGCACTTGCCGTTTGGTTAACGTTTCGAGATCTGGCGAACTAAAGTTAATTTTGAAGGAAAAAGTATCATCATGAGGGTTCCAGTGTAAACCCAAAACACGCAAGCCTACCCCCTCTAAATTAAGATTAACTTCTTTAATTTCGATATTAATTAAATTCGGCTGTAGTAGTTTGAGAGCTTCTGGTTTATTCGAGACCCATGATCGCATCTCAAAACCACACTGACTATGCACATGAACTATATCGGCTGCAACCTGAGCTGCATGTTCTACATCGTCATAACTTCCTAAAAAATCATCCATATAGTGACTTTCAACAATAGCTCGCGACGCTTCAGGAAACTTTAATTGAAAGTCCTTTGCGTTTCGATTCTTGATGAAAATCGCTATAAATGGAGAACACG